TTTTTGTTAAAAACATTTGGCCCCGTAATTTTAATATTTTGGCCAGGATTTTTTTATTTTTAATTTTCTAACCTTTGATTTCCAAATTTGGAGTTTTCATTTTTACCTTTGTTCATTGGGATTTATTTTTATTTCTGGTTATTGTTATAATAAATCCATTTAAGAATTTTTTTCTTCCTATTAATAGTTTTCAACTAATTATTTTAATTATGCATTTTTTGGTAATAATTTTTCTTTCTAAATCCTCATTAGCTTTATTTTACTATATTTAAATTGCTAGTAAGAATAAATAGTTTTGCTAAAAGTTTGCCGTTTTTTACTTTTAACTAATGCGAACTATTTTATATTTTTGAAAATTCTTCTATTATTGCATTTTATTTCACTAGTCTATCATTTAATTATTTGTTTTCTTTGTTCTATTTTTACAGCAAAAATGATAACCTAAATAATTTGGATAAAGCTTTAGCATTTTAGTTCTTAATCTTCAAGAATTCATTGTTATTAAATATTTCTGATTATTTTTCTGGATTTATATCAGAAGCAGCTTGAAGAGATATTTCTTAATGATGTAACTCTGGTTCTAATTTTATTTAAGCATCCTAATTTGTTTCGACCATTAATTAATCATTAATGGCTTTTTATATATTTAATCTTTCATTTAATTAAATTAATTCTTTATCTTTTTTCTTTTGTTGGCTCAAAATTCTAAATAACTTTGCAAGCAATTTATTATATTTATATTTCCAAATAGAAATTTCATTTTAATGATTGATCTATTGTTCTTAAGATTCTGAGTTAGGTTAAATGTTTTGATTGTCTTTGTTTGGATGATTGGATTATTCCTAAACTTCTTAATTTGTAGCTTGTTCTTATGTTAATGAATCAATAATTGCTTTTTATTTTGTTAATCTTTATTCTAGTAATTAAATTTAATTATTTTTTCTGGTTAATCCGCTCATAACTCTGAATAATTTGACTAATAATTTGTTATTTTAATTCCTAAGTCTAACGTTATCTTACTCATTAGCATTTTAAAGTTCCATTTATTATTGTGTTGAAGTCTTATCATTTTCTAATTTTACATCAGTAATGTTAATATTTTCAGCCTAAGATTATTAATTCTCTTAACTTTAAGATTCAATAATAGCTTTGTACTTAGATAGTCTTTCGTTTAAATTTTCTATCAGTTTATTTTACTTATTATATTTACTCATAATCATGAATAATTTAGCAGCCATCTTATTAATTTTTTGATTTCTTAAGACGTCATTCTATTTCTCTATTTCATTGGAGTTGAGGTCCTGTTGGGGTTATTCTTGTTAACTATTTTGTAAATTAAAGTTTGGTTCTTTTTCTTGATCCTTAATCTAATTTGAATTTATATTATTTTCGTGAATCTAATTATTTAATACCTCAATTTATGCTTTTTATTTCTAACTTCTCTGCAATAGTGACTCAATTTCATTATTTTTTTTATTTAATAAAAACATAGTTCTAAATAATTTTCCCTAAAGTCTTTAATTTTAATTTTTTATTTTCATTTAATCATGGTCAACATCTTTGTTCTCTACTTCCATATTAATCTATTTATTATTTTATTAGTCATCTACTATTAATTATTCTTATTCCGGTTATACCTCTTCTTTTTCTTTAGGCTCAATATCGATGGCATCATTTATAGCTTGTTATTTTTTAAGTCTTTCGTTTAAATTTTATAATTCATCTTCTTTTATTTTTAATTTGGTCATTATTCTCAAAATTTTTGATAATAATTTTTAATTTTAAGTCTTAAGCTTCAATAATTCATTTTTTTATTCCTATTAATTTTAATTATCTTAGATTTAAGGTTATTCATGCCCATGCTCTACTTCATTTTGTTGTTTTACTTCTTCATTTAATTTTGGTTATTATTCGCTATTCTTTTAATTTTCAATTAATTCTTAATTTATTGCCTTTTATTTTTCAATTCTTTCTTCTAATTATGTAATGATAGCATCTTTTTATTTTTGTTTGGTTAATATCCTGAAAATTTTGCCTAATAACTTTTAATTTCTTTATTTTTATTTTACTAATTCCTCTTATATATTTTAATGAGTATCTAACTCATTTTCAGCTTACTATTCAATTTATGGTTCATTCACTTATGGAATTGGATCAGATGAATTTTCTTTTTCTGTTTTTTAATTTTTTTAATTTCCTAACAATTCATTAATGATTGCTTTTTGTTTTTTTATTTTTTCTTCTTAATCAGATTTCAATTTTTCGATTTACATCAACTTTCCTACTAAAATAAATTTACTTCTTAAGTTCTTACTATTTTTATTCTTTATTAAATTCAACTCTTTCATTAATTACGAATTATTTACTTCTAATTATTCATTACTTTAATTTAATCTTTCAATTAAAGCTTCTTGTTCTTGATTACTTTCACTTGGATTTGATTTTGGTATTTATTTCTATTTTTATTCTAATTCTTCTTATTATTTTTTTTATTATTTGATTATTTAATCTTAATCAGAAATCTTTTTCTCTGCATCATTTAATTGAGATATTAATTTATCATTGTCAAGTTTCAATTTGTTATTTTGTTTCTCTAAATCTGAAGTCAATTAATTGAGGTCTTATTCATTTTACTCATCTTATTTATTTTGTTGTTATTACAGAGATTAAGTTTCTTTTTTCAAATCATTAATTTGTACATTAGCTTGCTTTAATTTATCCTCTAATTCTCTCTATTTAAGTGTATTAGGATGGGGGGGGGGTCTGGGTGTTGAGTCCTTTTGCGAATGTTTTAATGCTATTTCTAAATCATTTATGTTGATTTCTTAATCCTTTATGTGCAACTCAAGTTCTTCTATTTTCAATTTATCATTATTCTCTTACTCTAAAATGGCATTAAGTTCAGTGTTTTTCGAATTATATTTGTTTATCCAGTCTTAAATTTCTCCCTCTTAAGATTTAATTCTATTTTCTAATTTTTTAATTGCATCATTCAAAAGTGAATTTTCTTTTGCCTTTTTATTATTTTCATTTTCCATAGTTTACTTTTATTCCAAAACTTCTGTATATTTAGATTTCAAATTCTAAAAATCATCGCTTAATTGATTGAACTATGAGATAAATTCTTCTCCTCCATTGCTATTGCTGGGAGCGTTGTGTAATTCAATCAAATCATTTTATAGATTTGAGTTTACTTCTAAAGGTTTTGAGGCCAATAATTCAAATTATTTTAAATTTTCAGCCCTCAAATCTTAATTATTTTTTTGAATTATATCAATTTAATCTTAAAGTCTTTTATTGTTATTTTCAAACTCATTTAAATTATTCTTTAACACTATAATAGTTGCTTCCAATTGATTGATATTATTTTTATCATCCTTTCTTTAATTTTCCATTTCCTCCTTTGATGCTAAAAGATTCTAAATTTCATTATAAGCAACTAAATTTAATTGGAATAGTTACTTGCATAATAATTATCAACTTCATCTTTATTCTTTTGGAGCTATGAAAATTTATTTTTCCACTCTAATATTTCTTATTGATGTGAATTAATTGTTTCATCATATTCACTTATTTCTTCTTACAACTCTTAAATTTACTTTTTTAATTTTTCAATAATAGCAGAGCTAAATAATGAAGCAATGATACTTTTCATTAATTAAATTATTTTAAGGTTCTATTATTTTTTAAGGTGATTACTATTTTTTTTGGATTGACTTTTCCTCCATCAATTTTTTCTAGAGCTCTAATTTTTCTTTTTATAAAAGTGAATTTTAAGTTTAAAGTTGCTCTATTTATTTATCTTTCTGATCATTTTCACTCCAAGCTTCATTGAGATCATGTGTTAATTATTTAATATCCATTTTCAGATTTTCAATCTCAGCCAAAAATTACTTTTCTTTTTAATTCATTTCAAGCTCTAAAGCAAGTATTTCTCGTTGTTTGATTTAATCTTGGGTAAATTTGTCATTATCAATTTTTTAAGATCTATTGCTATGTATTGATGATCTGTGGATTCCTGGCCCTTCTGTTCTCTTTAGGATTTCATCAGCTTGCTTTTTATATTTGTCTTTTTCCTCCTATAATTTTTCAACTCTCTGGCTCAACACTTAGGCAGTATCTTTATTAATTTTTGCCTCTCTCATGGTTCGCTCAAATGCTTATGACTGTTCAATTTTCAGTTCTGATTTTACTTTTTATATCTGAGTGTCAATTTACTAAGAAAATTACATGATAATCATACTTTAATCCCTATTGGTGCTTGTCCTTAATTTGCTTATTAGATACTTCTCATAATAAAAACGCAAATAAAAAATAATTAAAAACTAGAAAACTTAACAAACGATTAAAATCCCAAAATGCAAAGCATTATTAATTCCGTTATGGATTGATGAAATCATTAAGCTATCCTTTAGCAAGTTCTAATCCCTACTCTTGATAGCTCAATTATTTTAGAATGGGGTCCATTATAATTTATAGCATAATTATAAATACAATAAATTGTTAATTTATTAAATGAATGGACCTTATTTCATTGGATCACATCAATTATAATAAATTTCTTTTAGCTACTTAGAGGAGATGAAGTAAATTAAGATATAAATAATTCTTGTGCTTTATATTCTTTTATTCTCTTTGCTTATCTTAATTTTACTACAAATTTATATCCAAAATGTTTATAATCAAATTAAAGTTATTTATATCAAATTCATTTACTATTAAATATATATATCAATAAAAACAAAAAATTCACGTTTTTCTAAATTATTTTCAAATAGATATATTATCACCAATAATCCTACATATCTTAAATATTTTCATAAAATAAATATCTTTCATCAAGGAAAAATAAATCATTATTTCAAAATCAAATTTTGAGTTAGGTAAGTAGGTAGATTTAAATAAATTACATAAATGACTCAACTCGTACACTTATATTCTTTTGGTTACCAAATTCGAGTAATATTATACAATGTTAGATATTACACTTTTATATTACAAATAACTATTAATATTATTATAATTATTTGTTAAAATGAGCGTCTCTTCGAATTAATAAGTATATGAAGAACTTATGGTATTAATATTAGTTTTCTATTCAAGGATAAAATCAAAAACAATTCAGAGGTAAGAGAGAAATTTGACAGCAGAACTTAAAGTGGATTATTAGATAAAGACTATGCTCACGAAGTCTTGATAGATTGGAGTGATTTACTAAATTATGATCTGAGTGATGCTATAACTTATTTTGATCTCGATAATCCTGACATTCCCCCGGAAGAGATCAGGTAGCACTTAGATTTTGACAGTTTCATTAATCTGGTCAACAAATGGTTATAGAAGCAATTATTGCAAACATCACCCAAGTAGAAACAAAGTACAAACTAAGACCAATACTGGTTTAAGAGTGAACCAGGAACACTCAATACAGAACAGAGTGATTTAAAGCATTAGGAGTAATTAATAAAAGCAATTTTTGAGACACAAGAAGCCAAGACAAAAAAGGTATTTAACGAATACGCAATGATGGGTGATCAGAACGATACAATTAGTAAATAAGATTTCCCTCTATTGCTTAAAAATTTGTTATATCAACATAATGCATCAATTTACGAGAAAAGTGGCTAAGAAGATTACTTCATGAGAAGTAATTCATATGGAAATTTGAATAATTTTTTAAGGGATGACCAAATCAATTATCAATAATTCAAGGAGGCAGCAATTCAGTTCATAAAAGGAAATCAAGATTTAATTCTTTTGGATCACGAATAAATTAGTAAAAAAAAAGAAAAGCAGCCACCTTAACATCCCCCAAATTTGGAAGAAGAACTTTTACAATAAATAGAAAAGTATTAACAGATTTTATAAACAACTGAACCTGAAATTGAGAAGTAGGTTCTCAGAAACATGATTACAACTTTGGTCCGTTAGCTGGATTTAATAAGAGACAACACTATGAAGTTTGATGAAACCTAAATAAATTCCACCATCAAACCTAAAGCTAATTTATAGGTCTCATTCTCAGGAATAGTTCGGCCTGAGAAAAGAGCAAAAACAAAAGAAGAGATTGAAATTGGAAAAAGAGACAACCAAATACTTGAAATATTTCTCTTTTTTGCCAAATAATAATATGTCAATGGAGTTGCATATGAATTTGATAGATACACTAAGGAAGCCTAAAGTTTAAGTTTGGGTATGTTCTTATACTTTTGTAAATGTTTTGATTTGATTGAAACTCATGTAAGAAAGCCTAACGAAGAAAATTTATTAGAGAGAAAAAAAAGAGGTGAAGAAGTCAACATTACTCGATTGAATCAAACAATAGTCAATAAAAGTTTGTTGGAAGAGGAGAAATAAGTAGAATAAGCTTCAACGATAATGTCTCCAAAATAAAAACCTCCTACTGTTCCAGTGGATATTCAAAAAGTTGAAAACTTGCCTCGAAGGAATAAATATTCTCATGTCCCTTCAAAATTTGAGTAAAATTATATTTCGATATCTTAGGTGGTGGAATGATGAGTTAAAGTTTGATAAATACTACAATCCAAATCAAAACCCTTTACCTCAACAAATCTTAGATGACATGAAATATTTAACCAAAGAGGAAATCAAGAGTTTGTTCAAAAGAAGTGCCTTCGGTAAAGATGTAAGACAATAAATTAAAAATAGCTCGATTTTGATGAATTCAAATGTTTGTTAGGTTTTATGGCCAATCTCATGTTCAAATAAAATGGGGAAAGACACCCCCATGCCTATTAATTGATATTAAGATTGATGTACATAGATTATCCAGAAGAATATAGAAAAAGATTAATTCCCATCAAAATTCCATTTAATTGCAAAGAGAAAATAGGTTTCAGATAACTTCCAGGTTATGAACACCATGAATATAAAGGAAGATAATTATCATAGCAAGAAAAACAGCAACTCTAAAAATTAAAACAAGAAAGAGAAAATTAATTAAGAGAGAGACTTACTGAAAATCCTAATTAAAGCATTCGATCTATAGGATCGATAGGATCTCAATCCATTGCTAATTTACCATATAACAAACAATAAGGCAGATTCTTAAATGGAAGAATAGACTTGGATAGGGAAAAGGTTTCATGGGCGAAACTTGAAAATTTAAATCCCAATGACTTAAGTGGTCATGGCAGAAATTTCAAGCCCTAAGATTTGATAGATGAATTCGAAGATGAAGAAGATAGGTAAATCTCTTCGTTATAAATTCTAGATTCTTCTTAAAAGAGTTCTCTCTGGAAGAAGAAAAAAGAAATCAATAAAAACCTGAAGAAGTTTAAAAAAATCTAGAGAAGTATGGTGCTTATAAGCCTCCCAAGAGACCTACTTAAAAACACTAAATGAGTCAACCTTAACTCTTAAATTAGAGATACGAATAAAAGAGTCTAGACATGAAAAATTAGTACTTGTAAAGAGCTAATCAAATTTAGTAATTACAAAATAAAAAAGAGTAATAACTACTCTAAAAAATTAACAAAAAATATAAAATTTGATTATTTTTAAAATCATTATAAGTATTATATCTTAAGTTATTGTGAAATGCATATATATAGTAAGATAATTGTTTTATAATTCTAATATTTAACTGATATTAATTCTATTCAAAATACTTATTGTGAACCAGCCTTGCAAACTCCACAAGTATTTCCAGCTCCTAATCTTATGAATCCTTTTTCTCCCCAAGATGTTCCCCAAGTATTTTTAAGAGTCCATACTCCATCATTTGTAACTCCAGTTAACAATGCATTATGGTTTAAAGAACTTCCACATTATGTCAAAACACCACTAAAATTGTAAAAAAGACTGTTACCCTTTATAGAATTACCAAGAAGTTGCATCAACTGCTACAGTGACTGTTGAGTTAGACAAAGCTTTAATTAAATCATCACAATTGTTCACAGTTATGTAACTTGAGATGCGGAAGGTTCTTTAAACATTCTTGCAAACTCCACTAGTTTAAGTTGTTGGGTAGTCTTTTTCATAGGCCAAACCTTTATCCTTTACATAATTCAATGTGCCAGAAATAAAACCACCTTGGCATCCTTAATTACCATATGATCCTGAACAGTCAATTAGATCTTGTTAAGATAGTGGATTTTAATTATTTTTAATAATTTTATTATTTGCATCCAAAAGATCCAATACATTAAAGATATATCCAGCACATTATCCTTAGTTTCTAACACTTCCAGCATATTTAGACCAATCTATTTCTTGATTTAAATCCTACCCATCTTTAAACAATTATTATGTTTATTAATTAGAAATTTAATGATCATATTGTAAATATTTAATTGAGAATTCTTCTTATGTTAGATCCGCAAATTCATTAATTTCCAATACAAAGTCAGTTTGTTTTTTGTTTGTCTCTTCTACTAATTTAACATTTCTCTCAAACACTTGTCTTCTATACCTAGAAACAATCAATATTCTAATACTCTTGTTCAAGCAATGAGTAATATTATTTATTATATTTCAACATCCAAGAGTTATGATCATTGGCCAGAGGGGTAGCACTTTCATATTACAAAACCATCGCACTTAAGAGAAGAACAGTTCCTAAAATTATATAAGATTTTGAAGCCATATTTATATTAATGATGTAATTAATAAGGTTCTCTGGGATTATATATAATTGAAAAATTAAGAATCCCTTTTAGATACAGGAAATATGTTGATATTAACAAGTGTTTAGGTGTTTCAATCAATTATATAAATTTTATACGGAATCTCTCTACTATGTAATATATAATATAAGTTCTATTTTAATTAATATAATGCATAATTCGATAGTAATATTAAATTTAATTTGAAAGAACCATTTCCTTTTAGAATCTGTTGATTTTTTGAAAATGCATTGTAATTAGAGAAAAATTTCTAGCACATAGTTTTTCTCTGTAGTAAAATAATGCATTTTTAAAGACTTAATTTACTTAGCTCCTATATTTCTCCATCTACTAATAAGAAATTCTAAATGTTAATATTCTTAATCTATTTCACCCAAAAGCTACTCTGCTACTTTGTAATTCTTTTTATATGCAAAAAGTCTAAATAGTTTGTAGTTTATAATTACTCTAATTATCTCCTTAAGTGAATAAATACTATTCCAGAATTGATCATTCTCAACATCCTATCACTTATTGATGGATTTAATTCTTCATCTAAAAACTTGACTTATCTGATTCCACTGATACCTTCATGAATATTTGAAATGATAATTTTATCCTCTTCTTTACAATTTTAGTTTCATTTTCTTATATTTTTCTTATTCTGTATCTTATTGATATATATATAAGACAACTATTTATGATTCTTTATAAAATTGGCTATTTCAATTTCCATTAGAATTGACTTTATATTTCAATTTGAAATCTCTTACTGTAATAAAACTTCCCATTATATTATTATATTAATTTATGAATTACCCTTTTAATCCGTCCCCCTCCTATTCATTCAGTGTTGCTAAGAAGTATCTATGTTTTAATTCATAGAATTCAATCCCACTTTTTGTTGCCTTAAATTAGCATGGGACCAGGCCAATATCACCTAAAGACTGAGAAAAAGGGAGGGACCTTGAATTTTGGATCATACAGCTAGCGCAAAATGATATTGGCTTAGGATGCCTTAACGCCAGGACCACTTCATTATACAATTAACACTTATAGAAGTTAAGGTGTTTCATTTGCGAATTCAATTAAGCCTATAAATAAGCCATCTCTAAGTCCTGGGCCAGGGTATTTTTACACAAAATTAGGCAATATCTACCAATGGACGAACCTCATAGTAGACTTGGAGGATCTATTTCAAGGACTTCCAGAAAGGAAACCTTTGATAATTAAATCCCAGGAGCTGGTCAATATCCTATTAAATCAACTTTGAATACTCTAGGCTTTAAATTTAAATAATTACATAAAAGAGCCAGAACGGATCAAATGAGTCCTGGTCCTGGGTCTTATTCAATTTCACAGGATTCTTTGAATCACGGCGTCAAAATGCATAATTCAACAAGAACTTGGTCTTATATTTTAAAAACCGAGACTCCAGGTCCTGGAACCTACTAAAAAGAAAGTTTCATTTAAAATAGGTCCTCCTCTAAACATTCAAAAGTTTCATCAAAGGAGCAATCGAAAATCTTGAAAAAATGCTTTTCTTAACATGAACCAAAGTAATCTAATAGGATAGGAAAAATCAGTTCTTCCAAAGGCAATATTGATTCTCATGGAAATTTGACTACAAGATCGAAATTCAAGTCTAATCACTTAAGCCAATAATAAAATATCAGTGATTCATATAACAGAATGAGGGAATATGGTAAATTAAAAGTAACTTTTACAAAATAAGTAAGAAAAGAGGAGTTCCTAGATGAATTTTCAACTCCAATTGCTAGAAAAGTCAGCAGATCTCCAGGTCCGGCTATGTATGCTGATACTAAGTTCAAACCGAATTCAAAATTGGGGTTTATGCCAACCTCAAGAAAAGGAGAGACATTCAAACCAAAAGAAGGACCTGGAGTAGGAGAATATTCTAAAATAATTCCTTTTGGTAAGATATACAGTAAGCATATAACTCCGAAGAGATAATTTTTTAAATTCAAAGATCTAAATTAATATGATTTTGACTAATGACTAATTCTATATTGATACTAATATTATTAAAATTAATGTAAGCCTAAGCTCAATTAAAGTGGAGTGATTTGTAAAAAGATGAGAAAGAGAATATCCTTAGAAATAATGATGAATGTAAAGATTGATTTATTAGCTTATAAGAACCTAAGCTGGCATATTTAGAAGATAATGTTAAGAAAGTGAATAGAATCAGATTCACTTAAGGTCCCAATAAATTATAAAAGTTTATGATCGGTTTATGTGATAAGAGAATTCGATAGGAAAGAGGAATGATATTCTAGGATAAGTCATTTGTTGGACATGGCACATATCTCCTTTATTCTGTGGATAGCTATAATTCATGTAAGACTATAATTAATGAAAGTCTTATTTAGTCATTGGGATTTAGAGAGCAACTATAATGAAGGAGGGTTTGTATTACATCCAAATGAGGAAGAGGAAGTTTCATTCGATTTGGAGCAAAGAATATTGAAAATAGTAGATGTCAAGAAACCAGAGAGAAAAGTAGAGTTTAAAACAGAACATCATAACCTAGACGACTTGCATCTTTGTGTAGTAATACTGGAAGGGGAACTGACATTTCAGATATGATTAATTATATATCATTATTTTTAAGTATCTAAACAACTTGTATCAGCATACGACTCTCTTTTAACACAACCTAAAGCAACTAATAATTTCTGCATGAATGTTTCATTTCGTTATTTTACTGTTTATGATCTTATCTCTTTTCTTTAAGATTCAGAATGTCTACTACGACGATATTGTTATTTGTAATCTTAAACCGAATTTTCAGTTTGAGATTAGAATGCTACGTTTTACCTTATAAAAGATTGTTGTGAAGAGGCAGTAGATTTAGAGAAATACTGATTTTCTGTATGCATAGTATTTCCATTCACTCTGACTCTATTTTATTAATTGGGTATCTTTTCCAACTCGAATTCATTTCTGTTGAGCCATCTGTGATTCAAAATCTATTTCATAGTTAATCTATCTTTTTAATGATATTTAATAAGACTGGTTATGAGATCTTTAACATCAGAACTCAAACTATTATCCAGTATTTAGTAATTGATTTTAACAATATTGTTGCACTTTTCAATATCGTTTTTCCCTTTGAATGGTGCATCCCCATGGAGTAATTCGTATAGTAGAATTCCTAAACACCAGATGTCCAGAGTGTGATCGTGAAGTCTATCTTCAATCATCTCAGGGGCCATGTAATCTATTGTTCCACAGAAGGTGCTTCTTTTTTTCGAACCCAAATTTTCAGCTGACCATCCGAAATCGCAAATTTTGACATTGTCAGTAATATCCAATAATATATTTTCAGGCTACATATGAAAAATAATGAGTTACTTTGAGGTCTCTATGAATTATATTTTGTTGATGCAAATAGTCAATTCCTAAACAAGTTTACTTAAAGAATTTAAGAGCCTCGATTTCATTCAATTTTCCTCTTCTCTTTAATAATTGGAATAGGGATCCATGTTCTGCATACTCCAAGATAAGGTAGACTTTGTCTTTGTCTTCGAAATAATGGAATAGTTATGTAATATTTGGATGATTCAACTTCCTCTGTATTCGAATTTCTCGCTTAAGATTTTCTATTGAACAGTACTCAAAAATCTCTTTCTTGTTCATCTACAATTGATAATCAAAGTTACTATCTTCATTGCGTGTAATTATCCATTGGTTCTATCCTTCACCAACCGTACAGCTCCAAAACTACCTTTGCCAAGTTGTGGATAATCATATATGAGTTCGAACTCTTCCGGACTTCTTTTCATTTGTCTCAAGGTTGACACCTTATCACTATAGGCTATTTCCTATGAATTTAACATGTTTTAGGGTAAGCATTGGTTTTTATGTCCAGAAGTCCTTATATAATAACTCAATTTACCAATCGATGTCTCGACATCTTTGAGAACAATAATAGGCATGTTTACAAAATGGACAGTAGACCCTATATTTTGGGATTGGAACCATTTAGGTGCCAGCCAAATTATACTGACAGTATCGCGAACTGCAAACGTTCATCAAATAATATATTAATATTATGTAATATTCTCAATCAAAATAGAAGTATAGGAAATCTACTAGTTCGCCAATTCTAAGATCCCAGAGTCTCCCAGCAATAAATGAATTGAAATTTGCAATGAGAACCAGAGCAGGGAGCGATTAATAGCATTCAGTCAAGATCAACTAGGACAGTTTTATTGCTTGTCGATTGTATGAGGAATAATAATGATAGTAATGGCTATTAATTCTTTGCTATTTGTGATGGTCATGGTTAAAATGGGCATCTAGTCTCATAATACCTAAAGAAGAACATCCCAAGTATAATTTATGAGAATTAGTCATTCTAAGGAACTATCTAAAAGACATGTCATTGAATTCAGAGGGTATCAATTAAGCCATAATTCGATCATTCTTAAAAATCAATAAAGAACTACATTAGAGCAATATTGATACCACTTTGGCAGGATCCACTATCGTATCAATCTTGATTAAAGATTAACAAGTAGAGTATGCGATCTGATTATATAGATATTTTGTGCAAATGTTGGTGATTCAAGAGCAATCATTTGTCAAAAAGTCAATACGTGGATGGCCATTTAAATAAGTATTGATCATAAGCCAAATAATGCCAAAGAAAGAGCCAGAATTATCAATGCTGATGGCAGAATATCTCACAGAAAGACTTTAGAAGGACATCCTGCTGGTCCAGAAAGAGTGTATCTCGCATTTTCAGACACTCCAGGACTAGCAATGACGAGAAGTTTTGGGGATAAAATAGCAGCAAAAGTAGGAGTTATAGCAGAACCAGGTATTGCTGATTATATTATAGAAAGAGATATTAGAATTTAGGAGAACCAAGGCTCATAAATTTATTGTACTTGCCTCCGATGGAGTTTGGGATTAACTATCGAATGACGAAGTTATGGATTTGATTCTGCCATATTATAGAGATAAATAAGTTGAATTAGCCAGTGAACGAATAGTGAGGGAAGCATTTAATAGATGGAAGCAGTTTTCCATTCTTAGAGATGATATAACTTGCATTGTAATATTTTTATGATTTAATCTAATCAGGTGTATTATTTATTTAATAATTAATACCATGTTCTATCTATTGAGCATCATCTTGATTATGAACCTTGCTAAAAGTCAAATTATAGTTGACTTAAGTGAAAATGAGTATTGGACTACTTTTTTTAATACATCAAGTATGATTACTTTTAAAGTAACTTCTCTACAGAAAGAGTTTTGTTACGTTAAAATTGAGTTATCCTCTAAAGATCCTACCTTTTAATTGATGGCAGATTATAAAATTAGACCGAATATCAGTTTGATTTCATCGTATAAATAAGGAGAAAAGATTGACAGAATAAGGTTAGAATGATATTGATTTTAGTCAACTTGAAAATAGAGAAACTAGATTCTTAAAGTTGAAGGGAAAAATTGGAACAATATATATAACAACTACAGCTGATTATAAATATAATTAATTTTAGATTACTATCACTGGTAATAATGAAGTTTAATGTGACAATGAATGTAATAATAATGGAATTTGTAAAGTATAAATTATTATGATTTTAGAGTGATGGTTGTCATTGCCAGAGTTCCTAGATCGGTAATGATTGTCATCAATTAGCAACGGAATTATAAGGAGGTTTTCAAAGAGATGTAGATTTTCTGATTGATGAAACAATTAAGTTCATCTCAATTGATCTCTCTTATTTTATTGGATAACAATTGAAGCTGGAATTCGAAGTACATATAATTATCATTAATATCTAGGCTGATTGTGACGACTGCTTAACTATTATCATTTATAAAACTAAAGCTCTTTTAGGGCCAGAAGATTCCTTAAATAGCAATTATACTTAATTATTTTACATGACTGATGGATCTACTATTATTCAAACATAGATACCACAAACATTGCCGACTTCATAATAAATTCTATATCTTGCAGTCTCCAAATAGTATTCTATTTATGAAAGTCCTCATCTAAAAGTTAAATGTAACTATTTTTCTGAACCTATTGATGATTCAACTGATTATAGTAATAAATTACTATATATTATCATCCCAACCGTTATGGGGTCGATACTGTGTTTTATCATTGTAGGATGTCTATTAAGAAGGAAAAGGACCTATATAAGTCAAACTGCCTAGGTTGCACAAGATCCATTTTCTAATTAAAATAGAAATGCAAATGCTCAAGATCCATTTTCTTAGTAGATTAGAATGGTAGCTTTTCATAATCCTATACAACAATAATATCCTTAATAACAATTTCCAGCTTCCTAATTTCTTTGGCAAAAGGAAGAAAATAATAATGATGAAAATGATAAATGTATTATCTGCTTGATGTCACTTAATAATTATAATAATCGGACAATTAGAATTAGATGCGGGTATATACAATTATTAAAGTTAGTCATATATTCCATAGAAATTGCATCCAAGAATGGTGTTAAAAATAGATATAATCAAAAAAGGATCACTAAAGCGATTGCCCCTACTGTAGATAACCTATGGATCTAAATGAAATTTTTTGATGCATCCATCTTCAATAATTTATAATCATTTTATATTTTATTATTATTATTAATTCCTTTAAGGATAGCCTAGAAATTAATTCTACTTCAACTTTAAGTAAAGTAATTATTAAATTTATCATTTAAGAATGATCATATATCTTTCTCTATTATCCTACTGTGTTTCCTAGATAATTGAAGTTAAGTTCAATAGATCAAAATGGGAAGGTGAATTTCAAAGTTCACCCAACAATACTTATAGAATTACATAATCAGAATAGTAAGAAGTATTATACACAATTGAAGTACGTTTTGATGAGATGAATCAAGATTTTATGTTGTTAGCTAACAATCTTGAACCTATTTCTAATCCTTTTTCTCCAAATCTCAAAGATGGAGAAAATATTGATTTGATAAAGTATCTATTTTTAAATAATATTCCATAGTCTCTATGAAAACAGACTAGAGAGATTTCTCTCAATCTCATCATCTGCTGGCGACATATATATTACTACTATTAGTAACATTGAGGGTAGAACTTACAGGATTATAATAAAAAATAATCTATCTTGGTAAATTTTTGATAAAGGTTGGTATTTTGACAGATGCTAAAACGGTTGCAATAACTAAGGATATTGCGCAGTATTATTAATACTATATTAGTATAAGGAATGCAAATGTTCTAAAGAATATATAGGAGTCGATTGTAAATACTTTGCTACACAAATGCAGAATAACTATATATTCAAACCAAACTTTACCAGAGGGAATGATTTTGCTTTAATGTCATTTCCCATGGATGGCTTTTTGCTGGCTGATAAATTTATTTTAAAATTCCAAGTAATTTAATTCTTTTAAAAATAGACAAGTGATGACTATGGTTACTAGATAATTGTCTACAAAACAAATGCTATTATTAATCCTTCGAATAAACTCATACATAACACAGACTTATGTGATTTGTATGAAGTTTCTAAAAACAAAGAATTAGAATTTAATATCCTAACAATTTATAGACCTCAGGGTTATAAATTAAATTTTGGAATTAAATCTATTAATACAAATTTTGACTCGCAAGATTTAGAGATCTTGTTAGTTGATTCGTTTAAACTAGTGGTTAAAAATAGAAGTAAAGATGTTTTACTTTCAATCATGATCTACTCTTGTGTCCCTTGTATTTGCATATCATTTTGTGAATTTATTCTTCTCTTAATGCAGAGAATACAAACACAAATACAAACACAAACACAAACACAAACACAAACACAAACACAAACACAAACACAAACACAAACACAAACACAAACACAAACACAAACACAAAATTCTTCTATTAATTCGTTTCTCCCTTAATAAATCAACTCAGAAGAAGAATGTAGCATTTGCTTAGAATCCCTCAATTCAGCTTAACTGAAATAAACTATATGCAAGTAAGATTTATGAATTATCTATAGTCATTTATTCCATATCTAATGTATAAATTTATGGTTGTAAAAGGGAAATCATAAATGCCCTTTATGTAGATCGAAGCTTAAATTTAAAATATAAAATATCACAAATTGAAGACAATTTGAAAGACTAAATTAATGGGTTATGTAACCTTGATTATTAATATTTATATTATATAAATTGTTAATAATTGATACTCATTGTCTTTTATCAAACCTTTCTAACTTTGCTTCTTTTTCCTTAAATTCTCTTCTATCTTTTTCATATTATTGTTCATTAAAAAGTTAACATTCCTAAAATTCAGGCACCTTGGATAACTTATTTTGAATCTACTTAAGATTATATTCTTAATTAAATTCAATATAAATATATTTATAATGGATTGTCCTGGAAGCTGATAAATCGTATTATTATTTCAACGTATTGACAATGTTATCAAAAGCAGACTTTTAAAATTATTATCTTTAATTCTTTTATATTTATAAGTTTCTTCGATCTTCCTCTGGAAGCTTAATGTAGATGACATATTTTTAATTTAATTTAATATCTTCAGCACTGTTCAAATTAATACTGTAATTGCTCTTAAACTAATTTAATTTATTCTTTTGGTTTTATAATTCCTGTTGTGTAAAGTCCTTCGTTAAATTTATAAATATAAATCCAGTCATATAAGCATCAAAACCAGCTGTGTGATATAAATTTTATTCTAATTCCACGTCAATTTAAATATAATTCATATTACTTTTGATAAATTCTGCTAAATTCTCAATGGAAGTTGAAGTTTCTAATTTCCCTCTGATTTTCTCTAATGGTTAAGCTGATTGAATTATATATTTAGTATCATAGATAGGTGGCCAATTTCTAGCAATATCTTCCTTAAATTCTTCCCATGATATTGGAGGACATTATACAAAATGGCTATAACAAAACATGACATCGGCAAAGCAATTGTGTCCTACCAAATACTTTTTGGAATTCAAAATGCATTCCCAAATTTAATAGAATCCTGTTTTTGTTTAAAATCTATCTGCTTTAAACTTTTATCTTTCATCATCCTTTGCCTATTTCTCTGCATTTGTTAATTTTGTGATTTTCATCTCTCCTTTTAGCAAAGATTCTCCAATCATATTCTTCTAATAAGCCTCCAAATACGTATATATGACTTTTCTTTGATATCCATTGGTTGTTTCTATCGTTGTCTATTTATCATCTGATTTATTGAATTTTTCAAGTTTATCAATTAAATCTTGGATCTATCTTATATATTCTATGACTTACGGTTTTCTTATCAGCTGCTTTGACATCATCCAAGATTTTTTCGAATTGAGTCTTCAATTCCTCCTAATCCAATTATTGGAAGTCCTTGTTATAATCCTCTTACAGCTTTTAATATTGTGCCCTATTTATATAGCCTAATCCCTTATTAATCCACCTATTCCAATCCATGCCATGTTCACTATTAAAAAATATTGCCCCTACTTACAAACCCACGAAGTCATCTAAACTAATAATTATAATATTGTCTACTCTTAAGGGAATAAATAGAATGTATAGGGATACGCTTGATATCCTTTTTACGATTTAATAAATATGCTCAACCCAAATTGAATGATATTATATTTCATACTTACTTTTCGTGCCTATTTGTCATTAAAAATACCTTTAAGTATCGTTCGAAGGGCAATTCTTCAAATGTGTCCTAATAATCCCCTTTGATTCCAGTTAACTCTAGATCAAACCCTAGAAAATCGCAATGCTTTATCTGGTCCATTATTGTTTATTTGTGTTACTCGAAATTATCAAGGTCGATAAACATTCTTAATATTTACTATTATTAATTATATGAAATCATTTCTTAAACAATATCTAAACAATCCCCTTCTTTTTATCAGCAGGTTTTACTGCTAATTCATCCAGAATTTCTTCCTTTTCTTTTTCTGAGAATTCCAAAAATTAAAACAATGTATTTAGTATAGCCTCTGCTAAATCATAATTTAGGTTTTTGGGTCCACAAGCTGTAAGAAACTTCTTCAAACAATCTCGTAAATGAGCTTTAGCATGAACAGCTTGAGGATCAACAGATGTCTTTTGCATAGCCATCATCTTATGTTTATACTAAAATAAATTTTAATTATTACATCTCTGGCCAAATTATTTAATTGCAGCATTTATTCTTCCTTTGCGGCTATTCTTTCTAACAAAGTTTAAAATTTAGCAATAATTTTCACATTTTCATCATTGGCTGCCTCTAATTTCGATTTCAAAATATTAACTTCTTCAGTATGTGAAAGTTATTACTTATTTGAAGTTGAATTCTAAAGAATAATTAATGTCACATACTTCTTTCTTATTTTTGTCATTATTGACAATGGCCGAGATATCAATGTCACCAATAAACCCACTGATATCATTCTCATTGATTTCTAACTGATGTTCATTCGATGAAAAACTTAAATCTTCATTTTTCTCTTCCTTGATATTACTCAAAGCTGTTTTGATTGGCAACTTCGCCTTCATTAACTAAATATCCTTTTGGTATGCCAACAAACTGTTCTGCTCCTATTAGGATAATTTAAGCTAAAAATAAAGTCATTTTGTTACATAATTCTAAGCATAAAATACAGCCTATTAATTTCTTAGATACTCATCCATTAAAGACTGTAAACATTAGTAATAAGTAAACTTTCTCTCACATTGTTTCTCATGTTGAGATTTAAATTATCTTAAATAGTCTAGTATATTATCTTAATTGAATAATGCCTTTATTTCATTTAATATGGATTAACTTTGATTTGAATCAGTCTACAATTTAGTAATCTCAACCTATTTAGTTTCAACTGCATTCGTTAATACAGAATTTTAGCTCTTTAACTATTATATTTCTTCATTTTTTTCTTCAATTAATTTGAGTTACTCATTTTCTCTTATGGAATTTTTCCTCATATTTTCAAGTTCACTTTTTAAATTTTAAATCTCCAGATCCTTCTAAGATAATTATTTAATCCCTTCATTATCCTTCCGACTCTAAACACTGTTCTCCTAGTCTTTTAAGGCTTCAATTTCATTTTATAATGCTAAAATTTCACCATCTTTATCTGCAAACAATTTCATGGCTTCATTTTCCCTCTTACTATAACCAGCTATATCTATCTCTTTCTAACTTAAGGCTTCTTTCTATTACTCAAGTTACTTCCTCAAAGCTGAAATTTATGAATTTAAATTCTCAATCTAACTATTCAACCTTTTCTGTTCTTTTTATAACAGAGCTTCTGAGTCCTTTAATTATTAATCTAATTGCTATTGTTATTATTCTTTTTATGCTAAATTTTCATTCAAAAGAACTACCCTATTGTCAAGCTCTATTTTTTAAGTATTCAGCTAAGATTTACTTTCAATTTCCTATTATAATTCTAATTTTAATTGTTATATCTCTAACTATTAAGAATTAGCCTATAAGGATAATTGATTATTCTGTTCTTTAATCTTCTCATAGTCTGTCTTTTATAATGCCATCAACTCATCATGATCTTAACTCAGTTAATTATTCTATTACAATAATTTTTGTTCTTATGCTTAACTTTCTTATATAGAATGTGTTATTTAATCTTCCTTCACCTTCAGATCACTTTCTAGTTGCTAAATCTTTTATTCTAAATGATTTATCTACTCTTATAAAGAAGCTATTAGTTTATTTTAAGCTTAATCTGCTTCATTTTTATTTGTGATTTAAACTTGGTTTTCAACTAATTCTTTATTATTTTTTTTCAATTCTAATATCTCGTTATTTAAAGTGGTTATTCTCTCTTACTATTCATGATTTTTCTGATTTAATTAACTATAATTTTGTGCATCTTGATTGATTTACAATTATAATTTCTTATTATTTTACTCTAATTCGTGGTATGAATGTTGCAAAGTACTTAATTCTTGTGAAATTTACTAAACACTCTATGTCTTTTCTTGAATTTGACTCTCAAGCATAGTATTTTATGATTGTATTTATTGTATCTTATTGTTTATTTTTTCCATCTCTTTATTTTGTTACAAAAGCTTATTTTCCTTTTCACTTAATTCTAAATTTTTTTTTTTAATTGTTTAATCTAAATCATTTATAATATCAGTATTATTTGTTATTATAACATCTTTTGCCTCTAAATTCTTCTCTAATTCAAGTTTGAGATCATTTAAACGATTATTTTCAATTTTCATTTATTTAATTTCGTTCACTTATTGATCAATTTGATTGGATCTTTCTATCAAATCATCTCTTAATTTGGAACATCTTTCCTATTCTTTATTCAATTATGATTACATTTCATTAATTTTTGTTTCTTGTATCTACTTCTTTTACTCTTATTCATTTATTATTTATTCTAAATTCTATATTTAACACTAATCATTTTACACTCTTTAATCTAAACTCTAAATCTATTATTTTAATTCATTATTCAAATTTTCCAAATTTGCTATCGACTTATTCAAATTATTTATCTACAATTGCTAATTATTTAGATCTTATTCTTTAATTTAATTATGTAGTTGCTAAGTCTGCAAATCTAATGATTTTTCATTAAGTTCATTTGATAAATTCGATATTTTGAATTCTTGTTACTAAGTCAATTACTGTAATTCTTCAATCTAATTCTAAAATTGTTGTAATGATTATGTATCCTAAGCCTTTTATTGTTCAGACAGAATTTAATATTTTAATTCTTATTCACCAAGTTTCAACTCCAGTTTTTCAATTGTTTATTTGAATTTGTCTGATTATTCTATTAAGTTACCGATCTAAGTCAGTAATTTCTAAGTTTCTGAAGATTACTAAATCACATTTTTGATAAGTTCTGTTTCTCTTACAACCAATTCTGAACTAAATTATGCCTTAGTTTCTTCAAGTTGCTAATCATTTTTGATATTAGTAATTGCTAATTGTTTATTCAAATCTGTTATTGAATTCAACTATTCATTCAGCAATTATGATAATTTGATTTTCTCTTTATTGTCTAGATCCTATGATTAAATTTATTATTATATTTAAGAATTCAATTCCTAAATTTATACTTCTTGTCTCTTTAGATTTTCTCTATTGTGATTTTCTGTTGTTTTAAGAACTTCAATTTCTTATTGAAGACGTAATTAATTATCACTTTAATTTTATGATAATTTTTCTATTTATTCTGATAGTTAAATATTCTTTTAAGTCAGGTCTTAATTTATTGTCATGAGCTCTTCATTTTCTTAATGTTGTGAGTTAAGCTCTTCAATTTTTAATTGATTTTCCTTTAAAAAGTTCGATCTTTCTGTTTAGATTTCTCTTTGCAACTCTGAAATTCTGGACTCCAATTATTATATTAAATCTTGGGCAGAACTTAATTCAGATTCTACATCATTTACTCTATTTTAAGAATTTTCAAGCAATATTTATTTTTGATTCAACAAAATTTACAATTTCTCAGTTTCCTCTAATTCTAATGTCAATCGTTGTATTTTATCAACTTATTACTTTTTTTCATCCTCAAAATCTTACTTCATTTTTCTTATCGACAATTCCAATTATTAGATTTGATTTTAATAAATTCCTTGTTAATCAGTAATGGCTATTTCATCCTTTTATTTTAACATCATTTATTCTTCTAATTTCTTGAATTTATTCGACAATTCTGAATTTTCGAGTCTCAATTTTTGATGTTATTATTCAAATAAAAGACTTTACTGCTTTTACTATTAAATATGATCTTTCTTTTAATTCTATAACATTTCTATTTCATGTTGCTTCCCTTATATGATTTAATCCTTGAAATTCAAAGACTCCTATAATTTTGATATTGTCTAATTAAGAGTAGATACTTGTTTCTCGTGATGATGGATTGCCCTTTCCTGAACTTATATTTTTTGATTTAACCCCTAGAAATCCTTAACCTATTATTGCAATTGAGTTATTTCCTGACTCTTATTTTTTAACATCTTATCCTTACTAGTAATTTAATCCAATTAGTCGTTGTTTGCCTTTGTTAAATCTCTTATCTATTATTCAAAATTAGATAAACTCTTATTCAAAGAATCAATCTATGATTTTAAATGGCCTTAGATAGTTGTCTATTCTACACTTTTGCTTCTGAGCTATTCAGGAGTGTCATTCAATATCCTACTATTACTTTCATATTATTAGATTATTTAATCCTTACTTTGTATTGTGTTATCCAAAATATGAAGCTATTCTGTGTGTTCCTACTCAAGTCTTTTGATTTAATTCTTTAGATTGTTTATTTCATCCTCATAATTTAACAATTTAACTTCCTATTACTTGTATGCGATTTATGCTTGTTATAAATCATTCTCCAATTGCTTAATCAATTGCTGTTGGGTTTCTAATTCTTATTAAGATGCCAGATCTAATTGGACAAGTATTTATTGTTCTGAATTTCTATTTTCGTAATCCTCTTTTTGTGTTTATAGGGATTGAACAATTTATTTATTCATTAATTCATCTCTCTAGTATTAGTCAGATAGTTCTTAGTAAGATTGCTTTAGATCTTTGTACTTTTATTTTATTTCCTGTAATTTTAATTGATTCTATCCATTTTCTCTTTCTTTCTCTTCTTTTTCAGCCTTGAGTTTGGATAATTGTTAATTGAGTTGTTCGACTTCAGAGGTATAATCTCGAGAGCTGTGTCTAAGTAGAGGATAGGAAATTATAAATACATATTCTGTTTTTACTTGAGATCAACTATTTCTTAACTGAGGGATTTCAACTTTTAACTTGAATCATCTTTATAATTTTTATACTCAGAATTTACTTCAGTTTTTTATTTCTGTACTAACTAATTAGAATATAGTTACATTGTTTTTAGTTTTCAACAGCTTTAGAGAATTGGAGTTTAAGTAATTTACTTTCGTTTTCCAATGATTTCACTTTTTTTAAATGATTCTATATAATGTCGCTTTATTCCTCTATTTGTTATTTTAAATTCATTATTTCATTGTCCTTTTCAACCAATAGTTCTTAGAATTAGTTCATCTAAATTTCTATTAATTTATTCTGATTGCTCTTAGAGTCAAGACTTGATTGTGACTCCACCATAGGATTCTTTTGCTTGAAACCTATCATTATCTGAATAAATATCTTGAGGCCTTTGAGAATTTTACAATTAATTAGAAAATTACTTATTTGAAAATTCTAATTATTGTTTTTTATTTTACAGTTTATTTACTTTAGCCTCTAATTTAGCGATTACTGCAAATAAGTTCTTATTTTTTATATTCAAATCTTTATTCTAAATCTCTTACTAACGTAATTGAGTATTGATTTCAATAATTTTATTATGATCCTACTCTCTGCTCTAGAGACTGCTGGCAATTATCTAATATAGCTATTCAAAAGATTGAGGATAACTGTTCTGGTGTTTCTCAACCAATGAGTACAGTTTATTGAGATCATCCTTCTTGAACAATTGATTGATGTTTGTATTGTTGAGTTGATGAATAGAAATTTGTGCTGCTTAGCAAATTTGATTGATTATGTTGTGCATATTGTTCCATCCCATTATAATCTCTCTGATATCTTTGAGTACCTGCATTTACAGTTTTTGTGAAGATCGCTAATTTATTAATTTCTTGGCATTAATTGATATGATTGATAGCTCTTAAAGAATTTCAGTCAGCAAATCATCCGCCCTATACGTCAAAGGTGGGTCATACCTTATTTATTCAGTTTTGCGAGTGCCCTTGTCATCCATGCGTTTTAACAACTTGTCCAAAGGCTGTGTTGAAAATTAAAAGTTATCACCACTCATCCTACTCTAAAGTAGATTCGATTTAAGCACCGATATTTCCTTCTCAATTTGCTAATGACTATCTTTCAGCATATTAAATCTAAGAGATGAGCCTAACAGCCTATCAGAATCCTAATCTTGATGCTTCGTAGTATATGAATCAATAAGAAAATTTTACGAATTACGAGGACCATAAATCCCTGGAGATATAATCTATCTCAAAGGTTGGGGCGAACTTATTCCAGGTTAAGGAGAATAAAATGCTGTCTAAGTATTTTATCTGCTTTATTTTTGCATTATTCAAATTATAAATAAATTATAATAACAAATAAATACATTACTACTAGATTATTTATTTTATCCACCTTTAATACCAATAAATAAGAATTCTCATTGCCAATCAATTTATAAATAAAGAATGTAAGAATAAGGAATCTCCAGGACAATTGATTCTTCAATAATATATCCTGGAAACCTTAATATTCTAGTTTTTTGTTTTAGATTAACAAAATGTCTGAATTTATACAAAGACATATAAATTTAATTAATATTTTATATTTAATTAATTCCTCATTGTATTTTCTTTCTCTCTTCCAACAATTTGGCGTTTCTAATTCTTGAGAAGATTTTGAGAACTTCATCAACCAAAACTACAGGTGCAGATACTCCAATGATTAAAATCCTAAAATTATATTAAATAAAAAGGTACCAATCTTATATGGATAATAGTACAGTGTTAAAGATTTTTCAAATAATGGTACATAGCAGATCATGCAATGGAGAGTCATTGATCCACAAATTGCCAAAATCAATTATGGATTTGCAAATAATCAAACTTTTAGTAATGATCCATCCTAGAAAGAGTTTAATACAAAAAATATATTTCAGATAAAGCATTCAAGGCATTGAACATCTCGATAACAACAAGAACAGAAAGACTTAAAGTTGAAGCCTTTTATATGCCCCAAGAGAAATATAAGCACGAATCCTTAGAGAAATCGTATTTTTCAAAGTTGCTAACTTTGAATCCTTCCCGATGATGGCACTCAGCCAAATTTCTCAATTGATGAAATGTGACAACTGGATGTCCATCTCCAGCCCATTCATATCCCAAATAATAGTATACAAGCAAAGACAAAGACTGTGGCCAAACCAACATAAGTTCCAACAACACATTATCTAACAAATTCGTATTCAGTAATAATTGGTTCATCATGTTTTCTTGGTGGTTTTTACATGACATCAGGATCAGGTGGATTGAATGATAATGCAGTTGCAGGGAGACCATCAGTGACTAAATTGACCCATAATAATTAGATTGAATTGAATCCATCAGGAATACCTAAGGCTGAAGATGTGAAAATAGAGACAACTTCACCTATGTTTGATGAAATCATGTATCTAATAAATCCTTTCATTTCTTTCCCTAGTAAATTCTAAGGTGGCTCTCTTTGTGAATTCGCTAACAATCTTATAATTATATTATTATCGAGCGTTTATGATTAGTTTTCCATTAAAAGATTTATCATACTTTCCAATATTTTCAACTAACGCTTTCAATACAATTTCAGCTGGTAATCCATTTCTTTAGAATCTTCCTTTATCGAAGTACAATTTAGATTCATTGCATAATGCCATAGATTAGCACAATCTAGTAAGATTTTCAGCTAAGCCATTTCCTTTAACTAATTTAGCGTCTAAAACATCAATCTTTCCCTCTGGATGATAGGATGTTCCTTCAATTGATGATGCTTCTTATTCTGATAAGAGTACCAATTCTTTAACACACATTTCCTTTGTTGTCAAAAGTACTAATTTTGTCTGAGCACAATAGCTTCTTACTTGGCCATTCTTCTAGCTCCCAAAGCTAAACAGGTTGTGATGACAGCTGGTAATCCTTCTGGTATGTCAAATCGATCTATGCCATTAATAAAAAATAATATAAGATAATCTGCTAAAACTTTGTTAAGGCATTTTATTTATAACTCTTTCTTCATCATAATCTTTGACTAGAGAATGGATAAATTTTTCAACTATTTGTTTAATTAATTTTAAAGTTAATGTATAACACTTTTGCAACTAATTTTATAAATTTGATTTACAGAACGATTATAAATTTATTGAGAATTTAAGACGTTTATAGAATTTAAAATATCTAATGAGAATTAAATTCATTCTAGGATTCCTTCAAAAAAGTCACCCCTTGGACTTGCCAAATCAACCAATCTGTTACTCCTTACTATTGAAAGTGGTTCTTTCTAAAAAAACTGAAACATCGCATTTTATGGTGATTGCAACTCACACATTTAATTACACTTCTTTAACTTTGGCAGTTAAATCTGATGCAATTCTTAATCCAAGATTTCAGAATTAATTACCTCTTCATCCAAATTATACTGTGACATTATCTCATCACATTAAATTTGGAGATTGAGATTGTGTTATTTTATTGTGGACAGAAGTGATGCTTAGAGTGAAGTGCTATACTCACTTATTTAATCAAAAAAAGGATGTTAAAGAGCCTTTCTAGCACTTGTTCTAAGCTTTGGATCCTTCCTTAACAATTAATTTAGTAAATTCTCATTAAAATATGATTAATTAATACAATTGAATCCTCTGTAATATAATGATGATCCATGGGCAATTTTAAATCAATTTCACATTTTTTATTAGCTCTCAAAACTTCATCAAATGAGTTGCCATTGAAGATGCTCCTTCCAGTCAGAAGCTTATACAATATACACCCACAACTAAAGACGTCCACCTTTGTAGTGTATTTGCTACCCACATTAGTAGTTAAGACTTCTGGAGCTACGTAGCCTGGAGTTCCACATTTTGGAAATAAATATCTAAATGTAGTTGTGATGATAGAATACTTATCCAAAGTTTCAATTGTAGCCAATCCAAAATCGACTAGAACCAGGGTAAAATAGTCATTCCTCTTGGCGAACATCATGTTGTCAGGTTTTAAATCTCTATGGATTATCTAAATTATCCTTTGAGATTACCTTATGGGAATGCAATAAAGCAACACTTTATAGTAGTTTCGCAATTATTATTTTAATGTTTTGAACTGGTAAGCGCTTATCAGGGAGACCCTAAATGTTTAGAAAATCATTAGTTACCTTTGCTCTTTCTATTTCTTCGCTCAGACTTTGTCCCTCTAAATATTCGGTCACTAAGTAATAGGTATGATCTCCTTCGTAGATCTCCCTTAAAATCAGAAAGTTGGATGAATAGGCAGATATAATTTTAAGGATTGACACTTCCATATTATAGGCTTCCTAAATTGTTTATAAATGAATATGATTACTAATCCTGAACCTTTATCGGTTTAATTTAAAAACGATTTCTCAATAGCTTTTATCGCATAGACTTTTGAATTAATAACATTTTAAGCGCTGTATACCTAAATATTTCAAAATTATTTTACTTTTGCTGAACTGCCTTTTCCAATCTGTAAAAGGGGTATATAAATATCCCCAATACCTTCGTAAGTAACTTTTAAATTTAAGATGTCTTTGAATCTATGATACTATTACGTTTTACCGAAGCAAATCTAATGGATCAGCACACAAAGTCTTAAATTTGTTTTTGTACGGAAAAACGAAGGACAGTAAAATCACTCCATCTTTTAACTTTTTCAAGTTCCAATTGATCTTTGTTGAAAGTTTTAAGTAGATTTTATATTTTGGGGACTAAGTATCTTTAGACTAAACATTTTTCATAATTATTTCTTACACTGCCAATTGTAAAATACTCTTAGAACACAGTTACATAATATTGTTTATCTCGAAAAAAGTGTTTACGAATTCCAACAAATTACAATTTAGCATCTTTGTATTCAATATAATCCATTTGAGTGTGATATACAACTAATTAATTTTAACAAAACAATTATAATAAATAAAAACAAAAATATAAATTTCCTTTACTTTCAATAAAAATATCTTTTTTCAACTCTGAAAGCAGGATTATTTTGATCCAAAGCAGAACTTCTAACTATCATTGGATGCTAAACTCCTTGGTTTAGATTATTCTATTTAAAAGGGGACTCCGTGTATAAAGATTTAGCAGTAAACTTATAATTGGAAAAACGACTAGAATCCGATACAATGCTAACTCTAGTTGATTCTTGACCTATCGATTTACACTTAATAGGAGTCAATTCAAGAGAATTCTAACTTTATTTACCTTTCAACATTTTGATGACCCAATCCGAATTCAAAACTTGCTATATATTAATCCGCCTTTGATGAGCTAACATTTATTGAAACAACTATAAACACTCTTTAGACACTTTCTCATTGAATTTTATTGATTATTTATTGCATATTTTTTCATTCAACTCTTCCTTCTATTTGGCTCTAAATAACAATTCACCATGTAACATATACTGTAAATTATAAATGATCGTCATTACATATAACAGTATCCCCAAAGCCCAAATGTCAACGCCTTTGTCATGTTTTTCCTTTTTAATTACCTCTGGAGGCATATATTGCGTAGTGCCACAAGAACACGGTTTGGCTTTGCCACCATTTGGCAAGAAGATTGACCAATTGAAATCGCAAACTTTTACATTGCTATTTTACAATAAAATGTTATCAGCTTTTATGTCTCTATGAACTATATCTTTTTCATGCAAATACAAGATAGCTTGGGCTATTTAATAAAAATAATGGAAGGCTTCTTCTTCTGTAAATTTTTATTTTTTTTTAATCAATTCCTCTAAGGTTCCTTATCCACAATACTCTAACACTATATATATATTATCTCTGTCTTCAAAATGTTCGATGTATTCCACAATATTTTTATGTTTACATCCTTATAAATAATTTAATTCATTTAATATGTGCTAAGTCGCAAAAATTTGTTTCATATAGCTTTTCGAAATCTATATATGTTAAATAATTACTATTTTAATTGCGAATTTCTTCTTATCAACATGATCCAATACTAATTTAACCTTCCCATAAGTTCCACTTCCTAACTCAATCTAAAGAACTTCGTATTTATCCTTGAGCAATTTCTTTTGAGGAGCAATTGTTGAAGGTTAAGGAGGCAAGGGATAGAATGGATATTAATACATTCTCAATGAAAAATAAATATATATAAATATTAATTTGATTTCTTAGTTCCAAAACCTTGTTAATCGATCCTCTTAATATGTCTAAACATCATTAAGTGGAGAAATTTACTTAATTGATGTTTTTTAAAACACACTTGATTTAAATCAATAAGTTCTGTTTCAAAAATTAAATGATAATTTATAAAATGGGAATTTTAAGTAGTATTAATAAATTTAATTTATGAAAATAATTATCAAAACCTTAAGTGGATAAACTTTTGAACTTGAAGTACAGCCAACAGATTCAGTAACTCTGATTTTCAAATTAGGTTCTAAATATCAAAGAAAAAATTGAAAAGGTTAAATAATTCGAAATCGCATAATAAAAACTTTTAAGAAAAGGAACTCTTTTAGTTGATGATTAAACTGTTGGAGATTTAGGAATCTAAGAAAAAGACTTTCTTGTTGTAATGGTCAATGTGAAAGTAATTCATTTTATTTTATCGAGTAGAAAGGTCCTCCTCAACAATAACCTGTTTAATAATAGGCTCAATAGCCACCTTAATAACCACAACCGGTTTAACCGTAACAACCGATTGAAGTGCCAAAACCACTAAACAATCCAACTACATCAAATATGGTGACTGGTTCAGAGTATGATTAAGCCATCCAAAATTTGATTTAAATGGGATTTGCTAAATCTGAATGTGAAGCAGCAATGAAGGCTGCCTTTAATAATCAAAATAGAGCAATTGAATACTTATTAAATGTAATGAAATAATTTGCGATAAAAGGGTCTTCCTGTAATTGATCAACCACCTCCACAGCCAGCTTTGAATGCCAACTAGGTAGATTAAAATATATTGCAATTGTTGAGAGAATAATTCATGTAAAATCCATAAGCAGTTCTTTAGTCAATACAATAATTGTAGCAAACAAACCCATAATTATATTAAGTAAAATAAATAATTATACCAAAATTAGTAAATATAATAAAATCCTGAAACTTTAATCTAGTTGCTGATGGGAGCTGGTTAAGGTGAAGGAGATGAGATTGAGACAGAAATTACACAAGAAGAAGAATAACAACTCAATTAGTTGATGATGATGGGGTTTTCAAAAGAAGATGCATTAGAAGGATTTTTGGCTTGTGATAAAAATGTTGAGACAGCAGCTTCCTATTTATTTGAAAAACAAGCAAGAGGGGATTTGTTAAGTAAAAATTAAATTCATTTGAGGCCAACACTATGATAGAGAAGAGAATAATCCTGAAAACTATAATGATGAAGGTAATGAAGGTGAGGAAAATGATCAAGATGATGATGATTAATATTATTGAATTCATATGTATATATTCTTAATTTGATTTACATATTTCTTTTTAGGAATCTAGCTAATATGTATTTAGTCGAGATTCAGAAATTTCCATATAACTTATTATAATCTTAATTGGAATTTATGATGTTTAATAAGAAATAAAAAAAAACTCCTAAATCTATTTCCGTATAACTATTTTCTTTTTTAAATACAAATGTCTGGACAATCTCCTATTAGATTTTGTATTCATGTTCTCTCAATCATTGCTTAAGAATACTTTATCTAATCATTTCAATATGAAAGAAAAACTCATGATTATACAATTAATGATTGGTATCATCCTCATATTACCAACAATTAAATAACGCCATTAAGCTACTTCTTAAGTATAAGTAGAAACTCAATAGCGAGAGTGTAATTGGAATTAAAATTGAATCTTTTGAAACCTTTAAGAACCATGGAATATAACAATAATATAAATTAGTTAAAAATTGTATTCCAATTAATATATCACTATACATATGAAATAGTTTTCATTTCAAAATGATGTCCACATTATCATGTGCACCCTTTAAAAGCATTTAGCCTTAAAAATCAAGCACATTCTATTTTTTGGCTGCTCTCAAAGTACCAACGAGTGCCATAGAATATTGATATAGAATACTTCATAATATTGTTAAGTTTTTTCGTCATTGAATAGCACTCCAAATTTAACAACGTATTTTCCTTCTGCATTCTTTGTACCTAAACGTTGAATATCTTTCTTTAACTCTTCTATTTCTTCTTAAATTTTCTCTTACATAAAATAATTATTTAATAATATTACTCATTTTAATGAAATTTGAATAATGGAGCATAATAATATATAAGAGTTAAAGAATATACATATAAATTGGCAAATTATAATTCTCAACTAGATGATTTGCTTATTAATGTTGGAGTATAGATCTTCCAATAAAATGTAATTGCCAAGAGAGCTCCTATCCATGGTCCCATAACAAACATTAATAAGTTTATCATCTGACTCCATCTACCATAATATATACCGTAAAACAATTGCAATCTATGTTTATTCAAAAGTTTACCCAAATGCAGCTGCAGGATTAAATAAACTATTGCCCATTGTGGCAGTATACCTATAAAGTAGTTATCAAATTATTACTATCTTGCTACAAAATATATAATACTAATGAACGCTGTTGATTGTATTTAAGTTGTGGTAATTTTAGTGTTTTCTGCTGTTTAAATTTATATGAAAGTGAAGAATATAACTGAGCCTGCAATTTCTGACATTAATGTTCCAAAGACTTAATGAGTAGGCAGTCTAGAATTGATAATATTAAATACGATTCATAATAAGGCAAATGATCGCTGTTTGCGAATAATGGCATGAATAACATCCCTGCAACTAGACTTGCTAGAATTTGAGATCCAATATAATATAAAGTCTTTTTTTTAGAGATAGCTCCATCTATGAATCCAACTAATGTGCAAATTGGATTGAAGTATCCTCCACTTAGGCGACCAAACAATGTTAGACTAATGAAGTAGACAAGAGATAATCCAAAATTATTTCTACATAAATTTTGCCATCATATTTACTCTGCAGCTAAAGCTCCATAAATTACCAACAAGGTGCCTGCTGTCTCGAATACTACGATGTTAGAGATTTAGGCTGCTTCTTTTTCCTTTGAATCCTCTGGATTGGCTTAGAATTGATTTACTGTAGGTTCCATATTATTTTTATATAATTAATTCAATATAATCAATTTAATTTATTTCTAGTTAGAGTTTGCATCATTTATTTTTATGACTAAGACATCATTCCTTTTGTTAACTATGATATCAATTGCTTATTATATGAGCATAATTTACTTATTATTCTTAATTTATTCTTTTATTTTCAATGCATTCAGCTAACATCACCTTGATGCATCTCCATATTTATTTAAGATTAGGCAGTTGATCTGCAGGGAAATAATCAGGAGGGGAGCAAGAAACTACTAAGTCTTTTAAACACGAAATAAATTTATTTTGCTCCTTTACTTTCTATTTCTATTCGTTTATTTTGATTAAGCAAAGTGAATGCAACTTTGGTTCAAATATGTTTTCCTTATTTATTAATCCAATCTCATTAAAGATTTATGACACAAATGTTTGTAATCTTTGGATATTTGCAAAATTGCCAATCATCTTTTCGAGCATTTCAACTTTGTGTTGTAACTTTTATATTTATTCTTCCTATTTCTTGATCAATTCATTTTAATCATTATTCAGAGATACTTCATGCACTGAAGAGTAATTCATGTTCTGAAATTGCAGCATGTCTATATCTTCTGATTTAGAACTCTTGTGTTATCGAAATGGTTAGAGACGTGGAGATTATAATGTTTTAAAAGAGTCATAATTATCGTATGTTTTACATCTCATTTTGAATTATTGAATTTAAAACTATTTGTTATTATTATTATTCTTATTTTAACAATTAATTCATCATAAAAAGCATAATATATTAGTATCATTCAATCTATTCAATCTGATTGATCTAATTTTCAAAATCTAAATTTACATCAGCGTTTGTATTGATTTATTATTTATTTAATTATAATATCGCAACTAATTGTGATGAGTATCCCAAATTTAATTACTGAATCTCAAGTAAAGACAACATCCGAATAAAAGGGTGAAGTTCTGATTTTAAAGTTATTGTTGAAGACAATAAGAATAGAATGTTCTGTTTATTGGTTATAAGTATGAATCAGATGCAATCAGAGTTAAGGAACGTTTTAATAAAACATTTATAATGATGTCCAAGATCTCAGTTGATTTTGCTAATATTGTGGATGGCCCTGCCCTCCCTAAAGTTTGGTCAAGACATACTCCTGGATCATCAGCATTCTAAGAAATTCACAATATCTAAGAACCACCATTCGCAAAAAAGATGAAGGAAATAAAGAACATGAATGAGAAATAGAACAAGAAACCCCTAAATATGATGAAAAATCGAAGAAATTTTAAGAGTTCTTATAATTAATGAAGACTAATAAAAAAACCAATTAGAGATATCTTGAAATGATAATGAGAATAATTTAGCAGATTATATATTTGAAAAGATTAAAAAAAGGGAAGCCAAAGTTCTTCAATACCTAAATCTAAGGTACTAGTGAATGACAATGAAAAGACATCACATATTACTAATATTCCATATACAAGCATAGAATAGAAATTGAGAACTGTATTTGAAAAATATGGAACTTTTTTTAGTCTAAAAATACCGAAATAAAGAGGAGGATCACCTTCAGGTTTTTGTTTTGTTGAATAGTCAATTGGATAACAAGATTATATTTGGAAGAATGTTTCATGTTAGACCTGCGTTAAGAATAACAATTAAATAAGAATAATAGTTAAAAAAGGGAAATTAATACTGAAGAAAAGTCGTCATACAAAAAGCTTAAGAAATAATAGATGCATGAGAGACATAATGATAATACATCATGGAATACTTTAATCTTAAATCCTAATACCATTATTGAAGGAATGGAATTTGTTAAAGTACTCTTTGGATAAAAGGAAATTTTTCTGAAGAAATGATGATATGGCTGCTAAAATGGCTTAAAATGGAAACCTAAGCTATCATTGAACTAAAGATTGGCTTAACAAAATTGATTTGAATATCGATTTTCTTAAAGTTGAAAAGAATTAATGTGACAGATCAATAATACCATTTTTGTAAAATATATTCAATTTATAGTCGATGAAACAGATTTAAATGAACTTTTTCAGGATTTGGTTAATTGAATAAAGTTGTCCTTGCTCCAAATAGATCAATTGGAATTATTACTATGCAAGACGATATGCAGACTACTAAGGCTTTTACAAATCTCTAAAATTATAAATTTAAAGGATCTATTCTAAATTTAGAATGGGCTACAACAACTTTAATAGGAGAAGTGAATGAAGTAAATCAATAAATTGAGGAATAAGAAAATGAATTAACTCGAATGCTTTATGTCAAGAATATTAATGTTTAGTACAACTGTAAAAACTTACTGAAATTTTAGTCCTTAAAGGTGAATGATATTTAAAAAAGTCACTATCATTAATAAAGATGGAGTCTTTTAAGGCTACTGATTTATTGAATTTGATAAACCAGAATCTGCCAAAAAAGCATTACGATTAAATAACTTGACTTTAGATGATCATTTATTGCAAGTAAGCTAAAGTAAATTAAAACCAAAACAAGGTATGAATTCATTATTTTTTAAAAGATTTAAACAAAGAAAATCAAAGTAAGAAATAGAGCCTACAAACAAACATTTAATCAAAAATTTAACTTTGAAGCAAATGTCTAAGAACTTAGAAGATTGATCAAATAAATATGGTGAACTTAAAAAATTAGAGCCTCCTAAAAATTTGATGAAGCAGGAGAGGTTTTGCATTTGCTTAATTTCTCAGCATTGAGGGAGCTTAGAATACTGCTGGGTCTTGACATAATACACATTTCTATTGTAGAAGATTATTATTGAATATTCAAAAGAGGAGTGATGTTATTTTCTTGTATATGATCAATTTTATATTGATTTATATTATTTGTCAAAATATATGTAATGACAATTTTGTACTTCCATTGAATTGGTAACATCTAAAATCCTATGGAATCATGAAATACTTTGCTTTTATAAAAAGAAGATAGTCTGACAATGATATATACTAATTTTCAAATAAAATTTATAAACATTTTTAAATCAACGCAGTCTTCATGTTGTAAAAGTCATCCTATAACAATTACTCTTAAAACAAACAAAATTAAGTGTTAAAAAATCACTCCACATAGCAAATTATTTCGAATAATTTTTCTCTCCATAATCAATCAGCTTTATATTGAATAGGTACTCAATATTTATTTGAAATACTTGACTGTATAATTTTCTCTATAGAATCATTAATTAAAAAAAATGAAAATATAGAGATCTGAAGACGATCTATCCTCTAAATTGCAAGAAGATGGAGTTAATTAATCAGCAGATAATTTAAGCGATGAAGGAGAATTAGAGAAGAGCACATTGCATTATACTTGGTTTGTAAGGACATTTGGACCAATGAAAAAAGGATCTCTTCGATAATCAGTTATTGCGCTTATGTGTGCCGCAATGGGTTCGGGTATGTTATCCTTTCCATGTAAAATATATTTTCCTAAAATTCATAGCAAATCCAGTTTAATCTGGATTAATAAATTGTATTTTACTTATGATTATATGTGCATTATTATCCAGATTCTCTATGTAGATATTAATGAAATGTGCATTCAAGTATGATTAGCGCTCATATGCAGAATTAGTCAAATTTGCTTTAGGGCCAAGTATCTAAAAATTTTATTCTGTGGATGTTATTTGTTATACTTTCGGAGCAATTGTTTGTTATTAAATTTTGTTTGTATAACTGGTTTGGTAAGTGTTATTAAAGTTTAACTTTGATGAATCATATAAGGATCAAGTCAGATATATTGGTGGATCAATTTTTATGATTATAAACTTCCCAATCAGTATGATGAAAGACTTATATTCCTTAAGATATTTCACTCATTTATAAATATTAATTATAGCATATATTCTTGTGACTATCGTCATATATTTCTTTATTAATGTTTCAAATACTTTTGATTCAGACAAGATAGTATATTTTGATTTTAACATTTAATTAACTAGTACATTTGCGGCAACTTTTTTTGGTTATATTTGCCACTAGTTGATATTCCCAATAAGATCTGAATTAAAAAGATCGACATTGAAGAGAATGTCTAAAATATTTAATAGAGCCATCGCTTCAGAAGCAATAATTTATTTGACTTTAATGGTTTTTGGATACTTAAGCTTTTTTGATAAAACAGAAAAAATTATTATAGATAATTATGATGATATCCCATTTACATTGGCCAAAGCCTTATTTGCTTTTATTATGTTTTTCGCAGTTCCAATCAACTTAAACCCTTCTAGGTTGACAGTTTTACAATTAATTGACAAGGAAAAAAGTTGGAAGGCTTATGTTATTTGTACAGTAGTTTTATAATATACAACAGGAGTTATTGCAATGATATATCCAAATGTAAAGTAATATATTTTTTTTAATTAGGGCAATTTTTGGTTTGTTAGGAGGGATTTTTGGTATGATTATGGTTATAGTCCTACCATGTGCATTGTATATAACCTTAGAATTAAAGGAAGGCAAAAAGTGGTCGGATTCCAATATAATAGTTACATTGTTGATAGGGATTGTTGCGGGAATTTCTGGTTTCACAGGAGCAATAGTCAGCTAGATTTATTCATGATGAGATAGAATAATATAAAAATAATAAAGAAAATGAATTCTAGTATCTTATTTTTCTTTAAAGACATATTTTTTCAATTATTAATTGATTTCTTATAGGTTCATGTTGTATTGGAGAGTAAACAAAATTAAGAATTTTAATATAATCTCAGTGATTAATATTAATATAATTAATAAAAATTTTCTAAAGAATTGATTCTTAGGAAAGTAATAAAATAAAAAGAGTGTTTTCAACTACTTAAAGAAAACATTTCCTCAAATACAATCTCATTAACTGTCAATCAAGTTGGAAAAATCTTATAATGGGAATTAATGAGTAAGAAATTAGGAATTAAAATTTCATTGCTATTTTTTGTCTAGATGATTAGAAGATGAAACATTAATACACTTGAAACATTTCAAAGAGGTATTTTTGATCTTAGGTCTACATTGATGATTTCGGATTAAGATCAAATGAATAATAGTAATCATTCCTATTTAATTATTCAAACTTAATCCAAGTTTAGACTTTGCTTATCCCTCCTCTTTTCTTTGGGTAGTTTATAACATAACCAAATATTTAAATGATCAGTTAAGAAACAAATATTATTTGGTCAGATTTACAAATTTGTAATAGTCGAATCGCTAAATAATTGATAATATTAATTATTTATGAGGTTTAAGAAAATTAACAAACGATAATCCTCATTGAATTAATAAAGGAGGCTATTTAAAGGAAATTTTTGAACCCTTTTGAATTTGAATGGCACTATTGTTGTAGCTTCAGTACTTAATAGAAAGGGCTATTTATTTTAATGTTATATTATAGGAAATTATTCATTCTGGCTGTGATTTAATTTCATTGTTTTCTCCTCTAAAATGATTGTTGTTCAAGTATATACCAAACAAAAATGCTTCCCTTTGCTTATTTTATAGCTGCTGACGTAAACTTTAAAAATAAACTTTTGAGCTAGGTTAAACACTAGATTAGGTATTTTTAACACAATATTTATTGTAAAGATGATATTTTGGTTTTTTTAGTTATCCTTCTCACAGTCTGCACTATTTAATATGGATAATTACTATTCATAATTCTGTTAAGTTTAAGATATTTTATTGAAGATTCTTACTTCCTATTGTTGGGATTATGTGAAAATATCAAATAAGTTTTTAAAGTTTTCAATCGGCCAAAGTGAGCAAAAAAAATAAAAGATCAATTCATTTAAATGTTTGGATTGATAAAATAACATATATTTTAATATCTAGAATAATAGTACTTTCAAAATCAATAAATTTATTATAATAATACAACATAATTATAAAATGTATCCAAAAAATGATAAAAAATTTATATCTTTAATTTCATTAGTTCAAAGCCATACTAAGAAAGATATTTAATTCATTAATTAAAATATCATATATTAATGGCAGAATACGTCACAAGAATTCCACCAAACCATTACATTCATGTTTTGGATTAAAATACAAACACAGCAAGGTAATGATATTTCAAGAAAAAATGTAGGCTTGAAGTTGGCCCACATACTTTCATTCGAAAAGAGCATGAAAGCATTATAGAAGGTCCAAGCAAAATGATTAGTTTACCACCAAAGACTTATTGCAATATTTAGAATCCAATCTTAAGAGATAATAAAAATTCTCCAGTCAAGAATGCTTATGGAGAAGTTGAAATTTAAAGAGGGGAAATAGAATACAGAACAGCTGATGATTATCCAGACCCTTTTCCTTTGTTTCCTGGTAATGTTTAAACATAACAACAATTTAGGGGAAAAATTGGAAGGCAGAGTTGAAACATTACTTATTGTCTAACAGAACACAGCATTGAGGTTAGTCGCCATCAGGGATTTCGTTGCAGATGGAAAGTAGAAGTAGGCTGGAGAAGAATGGTATTTTTTCATTTAAACATAACTTAGGCAACGCAACGGACCATTTACTTACTATCCAAGAGCAGAAGAGTAGATAGTCGAAGTAGTAAAGGCAGAGGTCATTAAGCCAAATTAGGCTTTAAAACTAAAGGCAACATAAACATTCATTGATAAAAATGGCAAGGAAAGAAGAGCAGGGTAATTAGAGATTTTATCTTTTAATTAGATAAGAATGGCTCATTAGAACAACAGGATCTTATTTGCCAGACACATTCGAAAGAGTATCTGAAGTAGTAAGAGGAGTCGTACTTACAGACAAAGTGTGTGTTCATTTAAGAGCACTTAATGAGTTCACTGATGTTTATGGTATCAAGAGAAAACCTGGAAATGAGTGGATTGTCACCAATAAGTAAGCTTAAGTTCACATCACGGATGTCTATGAATAACTAGTTGCCGTCGAATAAGCTATTACTCTTGGATCAAGAAATTATTGTATTATTCTTAATCCTTATAATCCAAAACTTTCATAAAATGATTGGGGAATCCAAGTGTTGATCAAAGGAGAAACAACATTCTTCTTATAACCAGGAGAAGAATTATTAGGGGGCAAAATCGAAGATGTATAGAATTTTACTAAAATAAGATTGTTATATTAGGTGAAGAAGAAGCTCTTTTGGTTTAGGCCATTTATGACCATTCTGAAGATGATGGACAATTCAGAAAAGCTGGTTAGAGATGGATCATTAGAGGCCCAAGAGAATACATTCCAGGAGTCAAAATCAAGGTGATAGAAAAAAGAAGAGCCATTCCATTAGATGCTAACGAAGGTATCTATGTCAGAGACAATCGTACTGGAGAAGTCAAAGAGTAATATTCTTCATTTCATTTCTAGAATCAAAGGAAAAACCTATCTTTTGGAAGCACACGAATCCTTATGGGAGAAGCATTTACCTGAAAATGTTGAAATTCTCGTTTAAAGAGCTTCAACTGGATAACCATACGTTCCTCCATCAGTGTAAGCATCTGGAAAAATTGCTTATAATTTTGAATCAGAATAACTCAAGCCAAGGGATAAAACTAAAATCATTTCATTCAAAGCACCTCATAATTCAGCCATATAATTATATGACTACAAACTCAAGAAATCAAGAGTAGTTTTTGGACCAGATCTTGTAATGCTTGGACCTGATGAATAATTTACAGTCATTAAATTATCAGGTGGAAAGCCTAAAGTTGAAAATCTCATCTAAACTTTAACTTTAAGTTTAGGCCCTGATTTTATGACTGATCAATTGATTGTAGAGACAAGTGACCATGCAAAATTAAAGCTAACTCTCAGTTATAATTGGCATTTTAAAGTAAATAAGGATGACCCTAATGATGCTTAAAAATTATTTGGAGTCAAAGATTTTGTTGGCGATGCATGTAAATCCATTGCTTCTAGAGTAAGAGGAGCTGTATCTTCCATTACATTTGAAGATTTTCATAACAACTCTAGCGTAAAAATTAGGGAAGCTGTTTTTGGAAAGGAAGGAAATGAAATTAGAACATCATACACCTTTGAAGCCAACAATTTGGTCATTACATCTGTGGATATTTAAGGCTAAGAAATCACAGATGAAGCAACTAGAAGATAGTTGAGTCAGAGTATCAATTTGGCTATTGAAATCAGTTCAAAGAGTTAAGAAATGCAATCAAGACATTAAGCTTCAAAGTTAGAATAAGAAGCTAAAGGGCAATTAGGGAGATAAAAACTCCTTGATTAGGCTAAGGCAGAAGAAACAAAAATCGAGTTATTAAAACAACAAGCGTAGAGTGCCAAAGTTAGAGCAGAAGGAGAGGCTGTAGCTAGAGCAATAGCTGAAACTATGGAAAAGAAGATCAAAGCTGAAGCTGAAGTCAACTAAGCTGAGCTCAGATCCAAAGCTTTGTAAATTGAATAAGAAGCTTTGTTAGAATAACAGAGATAAGAATAAGAGGCAGAGTTAAATTATCAAAGAGTATTAATATTAAATTTTATATTTAGTAACTTATTGAATTGGAAATCAAAAAAGCAAAAGAATTATCTGATATTGAGATAAAGAAATTCAAGCAATAAATCTAAGCTATTGGAAAAGAAACTATAATTGCTATGGCTAAAGCAGGACCAGAAACTAAAGCTAAATTATTAGGAGGGCTAGGACTAAAAGGATTCTTGGTAACAGATGGCAAAAATCCAATTAATCTATTCAATACAGCCAATGGATTTATTGGGGAAAATCTAAAATGATTTATCATTAAAGATCATCAATATCATAATTTGTTATTCTGCTAAATCTGGTTTCAGTTTATTTATTAAATAATAAAATAAAGCAAATATGAATAATAGTAATAACAGCAAATTTTTTCAAAATCAAGTTCTAAAACAATCAAATCATACTTTTTCTAATACTCTTTCATCAAATATCTTAAAACCTATACTGGATATAGACACTAAAATATGTTTGAGATACTTTACATTCACTAAAAGATGCTTCAATTGTTCCTAAAATTTCATTTTACGCAAATTAAATCTCTTCAATTTTCTCCATTACACAACCAAATTTCAAAACACAAATTTACAAATTTTATTACTTAAAGCTATGTGTTACTTATTTTTTCTTTTTCTAAATTGAATTCAATTTATTTTATCTGATCTTTTAATTTAATTCCACTAATTATAGATTTAATTCTCCCAAATTACTCAAACAGAATATTTTACCATTCACTATCTAATTAGTGTTGTTATAATAAGCTTATAAACCATATAAGTGATCATTTTCTCACCATAATGTTAAATTATGCAATTTATAGAGCATGGAGTAACAAAATAAAATCAGATTAATTTAGTATCCTATTTATTCAATATAATTTTTAAATCTTAATTTTTAGTTCTTTATTTACTAATTTTTCTTTTCTCTATGTTTAAGAAGAGTGATTTTATCATTATTAACATTTTGATTACAATTAATTTGCTGTGGTATATTGTTGATAATTTAATTTAAGATAATTTTTATTTTTAATCAGATTAACATTTATCAACACTCAATTAATTTTGATTACTAATACCTATTAATTTCTAATACTTAAAATTGGAATTAATGATTGTTCCTGTTCAATTCACGATTCTATGAAATCCACAGCTTTTATTACTTTCTCTTTTAGTTATTGCGTTAAATTATTAAGTATTTTTTAAGTTACTTAATCTTATAACTAAAAATAAACTCCTATGTCAGTATTAACATATATTTTTTAAGAGTTAATTTTCAACCCCCATACATAATTGTATAACAGTATATTATACATAATCAACACCAAGACAAATTACAAAAACTATTCTTTAGACTATATAAGAATCTAAGTCAGAAATGCATCATTTTGATTTATAGACCAATATGCAAAGTTAAGGACATCTTTAGAGTTGATTTCCTTCTTTTTAATGTTTTTAGCAACCATTTAAACTTGTGAATTCTGCATTTTCGCAAATCTTTTGTAAACAACTTTGCATTTGGAACAATTAATAGGTTGCATACAGACCTGTTATGTATATCAAGCCTTCAACTCGAAGTATATTTCGTTTTTCCTATAAAAATTTGATGATAGATTGCGCATATCATGCTTTTAAAGGTTTATTCTATGTAAATAAACATTCAAAATACTCAAGCAATAACATTTTTCAATCATTCATCAAATCAAATGCTTTCCAACTACTTAGAGGGTTTTTAGAAAAAATTTCAGAAAAAATTTAGTATTTATGCTCAATTTTACATCCCTAGTCATTAATAAATCCTTCAAAAATAAAGAAGAAAAAAAATTTTCAAATTTTCAAAAGATAATTACAATAAAGCTAATAAAGCTAGTAAGTCCGATATAAAAATACAATCCAGTCAGTCATTTTCCTATTTTTAAAATGCCTAACCAACTCAGCTGAAAATAATTTCCACACATACAATACTGCCGAACGAATTAAATTGCATAGTCGCCTATTTACATATTTAAGAAGTAAGTGAAATTAAGCTCTGGTTTTGGATTAGCTAAGCAATTTCTACATTAAGTAAAAAGTTACTATTTAGGGAAAAATTCTATTGTTTCTACATCAATTCATCAATTTCAATTTTTTAAAATCACCTTTCATTTTCATTAGGTTTTTGAAGGTGACTATAATTAAACTCATTTCTTCGAATTTTCAACTAAATTACTTTTCTTTAATTTTAACATTCTTCTGTATTTTTCATCTTTCATAGTTTTGGTTCCTCAATTCGAATAGTTTAAAAGATAGAAGCTAGTTTGATATGTAGCTCTTTTGCTATTCGAAAATATTTTCCTGGTGTTGATCTAACTTTATCTCTAAGAAACGAGTTAAATAAGATATAAACCAAAATTAGCGTGTATAAAATTGGTTTTCAATCCATTTTACAAATTTTCACATTGATTAATAAGATTTAATACTTTTCAAAAATCTATCCTTATTTAATAATTCTGAAACACACAAATAGTCATCAAATCTTAATGGAAAAAGTTTTCAAAGTAGATGGCGTCTTTTTTTGTAGCAAATTCTTTTTCCAATATATTTTTATTATTTAATAAAAAAAATGGCAAAAATCTTTTTGTTTTCATTCTTCGTTTCGGTTTCATCATATATAACGATTGATTCAGGATCTTATACTGATCTTAATGCATCATTAGGTTTCAGCTGTTAAAATAATTACTAAACTACAAGAACCATTACATTTTCAAATTCATTTCAGAATATTCCTTAGGTGTTTTTTTATTAATCATAATTTGACCTTTCTAAATAGTAGACTGAATATTAGTTTTCAATCACCAGCATTACAAATATTAGTAAGCTTCTATTTTTATAATTTGAGATTTTGAATTTTTTGTGACATGCCCCAAAGCTCTTGTATATTCTATCAAATATGAATGGATAGCAATAGATGATCAAAGAGTTTAAGTGATAAATTCATTTAATATGAACCCACCATCGGATAAAGTATTTAATCATTAATTACTTAATGTTGATGTTGCAATAATAGGGATAACAAGTCTAGCTTATATTGGTTAAATCAACTTTTAGTTATCTGTATTCATTGTTTTAATAATCTTAGATCACTTAGTTAACTATAAACAGCGTTTCGGTTGGAATCACAAAAGTGACTGGTAAGTTTCAAAATTTGGTGTAAATTGGTTATCAAATTCTATTAGCTTCCTCTAGAGACATCATTAATAATGGCCTTGTTACTTTCTCGCCTGATTATACTAGTTCTACAATGATTTTAGAAGAAAATAAGTGGTTACTATTACCAATGCAAGGAATAATTTATAATTATGCAACTTCTTTAACCTTAAGAATGTAGAAAACCATTGTTGGGTCAACTATTAAGTTTAGTTTTACAAAGTGTAAGAATTAATATTGAAAATAGGGTCTACTGATAGCAGCTAATATGTAGCTTAAAATGTCTGGTTGTCGTAATTGTTCGCAGCCAATTAAGCACTCTTATGCAAAACATTAAGAATTAGTTAAAAATTGGATTATTCTTAATGCACAAGACCATTATTTGAAATCTAAATACTTCAATCAAATTTAATTTATAATACGATTGGACAATTTACAACAAAGGTGTTTAAACCCATAATAAATATTGATTTCATCGTGTTAGTAAATTGTATAACTGGAAAACACGTAGTCTCTTAATTTAATAAATGTAATGCTTGTTCCACTTAAAAATATTATTAATTTAATCACTATTGTCACTCATAAATTAATTTAATCAGTTATTTTCCTAAGTTCACCTAACTAGATTCGGTTAATTAAGAGTTCACCATTACAATAACAAGTTCAAGCTGCTCAGTTAAGTAGATACTTTATAATCAAGTGAAAATAGAGTATACAATTATAAATATTCAAATATAATGAACTATGATAATAAGAGTGACATTTTATATATTTTAGTTTTTATTGTTTCTATGAAATATTTAATTAAAATACTATTATCAATTGATGTTTACTAATTTTATGCATTAGTTCTATGTTTTATTTATTTTATAAATCATAGCTCCAATTAATCTGATTATATGTCTTTTAGTATCTTCTCTATTTATTGTTCCAGGCTTCTCTTTAGATCCGTATTCGTTTCTTAATCTATTGTAATATGTGTAGGAAGGAGTGCTGAGTGTTTCTTTTCTTTTTTTTTGAAAACAGAAGGAATTCGAAATGTAATCATTAGCAAGTACGCATTAAAATAGTGAAGAATGCAAATTTTTATTGAGGATCTTTCAAATAAATCTTGATATTAATTCAGAAAAATGGACTTTACCCTTTAGATATTCAATATTTTATCAAAAAAAAGACAATAAAGTGGCGGATCTTATCTGTTGTCACTCTATTATTAGATACTGCAATCTTTTCGTTCAGTCAAGCTTCCTGATAATAATTATGCGACAATCATATAAACAGTTCAGAGTATCTTGTGGTGAATCTTTAATAACCTTCTTTACTAAGTTTCTCTTTGATTCGCCAATAATCAAACCACACATTTCTTTGTACATTCTTTTAACTTAATTACTTGCTGAAGTTCTAATCTTTGATAATGAAAGCATTTAATTTGTTCTATGTTCAATTAAAGTTGATATTTATTATTCAAGAAATACGTGTCTTAAACTCTAGTTTAAGTATATCTACCAGGGAAGACATATCATGCTTGCGAAACCTTTTAATTGCAAATCATATATGGCAACAAAGGGATAAACTTTTTTTTGCTCAATCATTTGTTATAGTGGAAAATATGTGTTTACACTACTTAACTTGCACATTAATACTTAGGTTCCTTCTTCATGAAAATTAATATCAATAAGTTACTGGTTTTAGTTTTCTACAAGTATTATCCCAAAATAGGACGAAAAGCTTTAAGACAGCCCAAATTCATTAATTATTCAAGTAGTTTCAATACCAGGCACACCTATTGTATCTAGAAATAGAAGTAATATTAATATGATCCTAACTAAAACATATTCAGCAAGAGTTAAAGCTTTGGATGATTTTCTGCTACTCGTAATTTGAAACCTGCAACTCCTATCGCTAATACATTAAGTGGTTATGTCTTAGATTACTTCATACAATGTTGATAATGGAGATTGCGCCTTACAGTACAGTCTCACTTCTATAAAGAGCTTTAATTCCTATAATTTTTGGAATGTCAATAAGCGACCTTCTCTTTAACCACTGAATGTGCAAAAATGCTTATTTGAATTTTTTTCATCTAATCTTCGTCAATTTTCAACTCATGATGTTTATTGTCTTGCG